TAGAAGACAACTCATGTTAGGAAGGTTATCGAGGTAGCACGCCACCAGGGAGAACAGATCATGGGCTACCGAGCTCCTTCTGGGAGTAAGCGCCTTCCTGTTGGGTCGATTCTCTAGGGACTTGGCTCAGCTGTGAGAATCGAATCTCTGCACTGAACCGCACAGTGGCAAAACTGCGAGGGAGAGTTGACCTCAAGGCTCCTGGCATAGAGAAACTCGAGCGCGAGAAGCGGAACTCGAAGAATGAGGAGTCGGGTCCAGAGGCAAGAGTACGGCATTCTATGGAAGAATAATCGTTCTTCTCATCGAACTTGTAGGATTCAGCGCCGCATGCATCGAGAGAGCTTGAAGCTATCAAGAGTTATGCTGAGCGCACACGTCAAGTAAGATTTCACTCAGAAGACGGAATCCGTATAGGAGCTTGATGAGGAATTAACTCAGCTCGAGGAGATCTTGAAGTCGTCACGACTCGAGGTCGAGCGTCTGCAGAAAGAAGTCGAACGAGCACGCCAGGAGAGGTGTGTGTCCTCTACACCGCGGCGCTGCTGATGAATCAAACGCTCTTGCGCAGGGAGCTCTCCTTGATCTTCAGAACGTTTGAGGGTCTACCCAGTGAAGTGCTGGCAGTTTCAGGGTTCTTAACCGAACTAACAGGTTGCTTGAACAGGAATGAATCGTGTAGGTGATGCTCAGGTGATTCGTCTGCTGTGCAACCTAATGAGGAAATAACGGCTCTTTATGACCAGCTCGAAGATTCAAAACGGGTAGCCCATCAAGCTTCTCACTTCCAGATCAAACTCTACTAGGATAAACGTACGCTCGAATTCGAGCTCGGAACGTTGCGCGTGCTTCACGAGAAAGTCAATAAGCTGCTTGAGGACACGAGGATCACGAAGGAACAAGAGATTATATCATTGTACGAGAGCTCCACCGAACGTTCTGATGATCAAAACTTATTTCGAAGTTGTGTAGATCAGCATCGATTAGTCAGCTCCACGGAAGGCTCAAGAGTGAGCAAGAACACATCGTCGAGCTTCAGAAAACTGTTGATTGCATAGCAGAGGAGTATAGGCTTTCGCAGTGCGAAAATGAGCATTTGAAGGTGACGCTATCCCGAAGCGAAACTTGAATGCCCATTGCGAACTCAGGGAGAACTGCGAAAAACTGATATGTGCTGGAAAGAGGCGATAGCTGCTCATCAGCACCTACTCACTGACCAGTGTGATCAGCAGCTCGTAACAAAGGTTCTACTTCCTGTTTACATTGAATCGCTCGAGCGCACATGGAGAAACAGATGGAAAACTGGATGGACTGAAGAGTACGACGGAGCGCTCTCGGAAACCTGAACTCGCTGCTCCCAGGGGGCATAGGAGAGCGATCGAGGAGCTCACCCGAGCGCACGAGGCAGGCCTGAAGGGGATGCAGGCTGAACATCAGAGAGAACTCGACGGTAAGCATCACGAATGCTCAATCAGTTTTGCGAAATACTAACAACACAATTGAATCTCAGTCTTGGGACAGACGATAGAAGAGCTCAATGAGCGGCACGAGCGGATCCTGACCGAGCAGAGTGAGGCTGCCAATCAGGAAATCGATGTCCTTCAGATGCGTTTGCGAGAACTTGAAAAGAGATCTAAGTAGGGATGTTGCAGAGTAGTGATGCAATCGATGCATTCATGCAGAGTTATGCACAACCATCTAACTCACTATCGCGAACTAGACGATATTCACAGAGGACGAAGAGACTTCAATAATCTCTTCATACTAGTCCTGCACAATGAGGTACCAAGTGTGTTTGTCCATATAGTTTCAAGCTGCTGCCATGCACTCAGCAATACTCTCCTATTTGGCTCATCAACTACGTTGCGGTCATCCTTGGAATAGAACAAGCAAGTTATATACGGATAGTGAGTGAAGAGAGAGGTGAGCTGCGTAGCAGAGCTCAAGCCATGTGACATGCGTTGGATGATAGGGAGCCATATACGCAGCTGTGACGCATGTGATGATGATCACTCACAGAACGGTACGCTGACTGAAAACGAATTGGTAAGGGAACCACTGGTGGTGGTAGGCATTAGGTTTCAGGTTCGAGTTACTGTAGAGATAATTAATGATGCGTCTGATGAAGGGGAGCTATCGGAGATGAGCAAAGAGTAGGCAGGGCCTTGGAAAAGATATGCTGGGATCTCGTCGACATCCATTCAATGAGACTGTATCCGCTGATTGAAGATGGTATTGTTTGATTCACTGATTGACTGTTTGATTAACTCAACCGCAATGAGTCTACAGCCGTCGGCAAGCACGGCTTCTCTTCGGCATATTAGTAGCGTACCTCAGACTTATCTTGCATTCGTCTCTAGATGCGGGTCTGTCACCAGAAGTACATCCCGAGAACTGAAGGATCGTCTTTCTTCATTATGGCTCCAACCATGTTCAAACGGTGCATGCCATTCGACAAGTGGGGAGTGTTTCCTTCACGAATTGGGAGTGCAACAGATGGCTTTCCTCCATGGCTCGCAGACTGTCGTATTGGAAGAGCCCTACGCTCGAGTAACTTTCATTGGTGAGAGATTTGTAGACTTCTGAGGAGAAGCTAATGATGCTTATAGGCCGTGTGGTATGTGACATCTCTTCCAAGCGTTTGGTGCTCACGGCGCATCACGTCTTGCTTGAACCCAATACTGAGCCCGCAATACGGCTGGTGGCGACTGACAACGAGACGAGGCGAGTTTTTCTGCTCTACATGAGATCATCCGAGCTCTCTGGTGATCCCGAGAAGAGCCTTCACGGCCTCAAGAATCGGCTGCACGTCAGATATCACTAAAGCTTTCGAAGATATGACTCCTGATGATATCACAATCATTGCCAACGAACACCTGAGGATCATCTTAATTGACGGTTCCCCTACATTGGTGAGCGATCATAACCAACAGGCGAACCACGGGCTTTTCGCCCTTACTAGTGCGCAATGGAAATGCTGGACGCTTCGATGGTGGAGCATCCGCAAGATGAGCAGGCTATTTGCTCGGGCGAGGTCTCGATAGTTGGAAGAAGGCTAGCGAACGCCCTAGGTGAGATTTCTCAAGTGGGGTATCATGAAAGCATTGCATTGCAGAAACACGTGAAAGCAGCGATGAGGAGCTCTTCAGCGACACTCTAGTACTCCACAAAAACGTTGAAGTTGCCGTCCGTGTTATACGAGATTCGGTAGACGAACCTCGAAGATCTAATTCTGCGCTGCAAACATGTCCGATAGGCCTTGAATATGATCTTGGTGGTTTTAGAAAGATGCGGTGAAGTGATACTGAGGGCATATACACGTATCCATGGCACATTAGAGGGAGAGTAACTGCCGAATCCACTTACGACTCATCGATTTGGACTTTTCAGAGTACCCGCGACTTCCGATGGAGTACTCGTCCAATGTCAGACCTGCTCCTGGCCAGGTGAGTCTGTTATAAGGCGAGCTCTGCTGATAAGATACTTCAGAGGGCGCCTTGGAGATACTACTAGAGTCAACTAATGACAATGCCATGTTGCACGTTACTTTCAAACCATGCAGTGACGCCCAGACAGGTGATTCCAGTATTCTTCCAGTTCACCGATGTTTGGTCAAGGCTCGCGACCCTTCTATCGAAGCCTCCTCATAAACGGCAGAGATGCGGCATGCATCCATGGCCCTTACATGTGAATTCCCAGTCCTATTCTGTTCGATATGAGATATCTGGGATCAGGCTGTCAACTTCGTCCTCTTCGAGACTCCTCGATGCCGACCAGTCCAACTCTGTCGTATCCAT